GCGACGTTTCGACGAGGTCTCACTCGTCATCTTCAAAGATGAAGATGAAGATGACGAGTGAGACCTCGTCGAAACGTCGCCTAGACACCCCAACTTTTACACGGGAAGACACCCGAGGACACCAAAACCTGCATTCCTGTACCCGTGAAAATCTACGAAAGCAAATATCTCACCTCTACGGGGAGGAAACCTTCCAGCTGACATGAAGATGACGAGTGAGACCTCGTCGAAACGTCGCCTAGACACCCCAACTTTTACACGGGAAGACACCCGAGGACACCAAAACCTGCATATATATATATATATATATTTTGTATACACACACACACATATAAATATATATGTTTTTTAACATATCATTTTCAACAATTATTAAACATACTTTTATATCTTATACAATTTTTTTGACTTCCTCAATCACATCTGAAAATTTCCCAATCTTTTTACTTAATTTACATTTCTTACTTTCACTATTACATTTAAATATCATAACTAACGTCTCTCTTCTTTCTTTGCAATATTTCATATATTCCTCCTTACAAAACTTCTTGTAGTCCTACTAGCGTAATTTGTTGAATACAGTTGCTCTTCAAATCGTTCGCGTATTTCTTCCGATCTTCTGTAAATCTCTGGTCCCGCCGCTTTCGAATCCTTCCTGTCATTTTATCCGGTTCTGCGTAGTCCATTAATTTCGTCTGCCATTCTTCTTTCGTCGGAATTTCTTCTCGCTTCCATTTCTGGGCCAACAATACTCTTGCCGCTGTTGTTGCATATAAAAACAATTTAACATCCTGTCTGTTAATGTCCTCACTTATAATACCAAGTAAAAAATGCTTCTGGTTTTTTAAAAAAATGTATATTCATTCATTTACAATACACTTATACTTAAGTATACAACACCACCACACAACTAAGGATCATTTAAGCACCTACTTAGGAGAAACACCAGTTGTGTCAAAGGTGTCGCTGACTCGCCCCGCTGCCGCATAGCAGCTCAATACAATATGTAACATAATATTTGGATTTAAGAGTTTGTTTCGCATGCACGGCACCATTGTGAATGACAAGTGCTGTCGTTGAGTCTGAAGCACCGCCGTTGTGAATGACAAGCGCCGCTGGTGGCGTGGCGCGTCTGGTAAATGAGTGCACAAAGTTGAAAGTCCTTTAGTGAAACAGTAGGTATACATTTCGGTAATACCTAGGTATATATGTATTTTGTTTTTCTAGCTTGATCAAAATTATTTATTATTCCATAACAGGTAGACAGTTAAGAGCTTAGGCGGCTTCAGCAGTGGGTGGCGGGCACCCCCCAGAATTTGGCACCCGGGTGCCCCGCACCCCTTGCACCCCGGGTAAAGATGGCCCTGGTTGCTGCCTTCGGCGTCACTGCTGCTGCTAAGTTGTGCTGGAGCAGGCACCATGGTCCTTCTTGGTCCAGGCTTGCCTTCCCCCACTCTGCAGCCTTTGGTTTGGGAAAGGTCACATGCCAGGAAAATGAAAGAAAATGTGAATGTGCCAAAATAGCCAATCTGCCCCGTGCCGGATGCAGAAAGCAAAGCCGTCCAGCCAACCGGCGGTCTCTGTCGTCAATTCCTTGGCTCTCAGGGTCAGCTTCCTCCAGGGTCGCAGCAGCGAAGTCAAGCAAGAGATTCGCCAAGCATGGAAGGAAGAGGATCCGCGTGGAAGGCTTGGCCCTGCCCGACCCACCGCTCCCCACCAGGAGGTCCTTCTCGGGACCAGGTAAACGGTCCAGGCCTTTGAGGCACAAGGGAGCAGAGCTGCATGGTCGGATGTCCCTGGAGTGCTCCTCTCACAAAGCACAGGGGAGGGCACCACGTCTGACACCCGTCCCCACAGCCTTCTGCACTCAGTAGCGTCTCCGGACTGCACGTTTGCAACTTCGGAAATCGGCCTTGCTGCTTCCACTAATTTCACCGTTTCCCCTGGGATCTGGTCCACCTGATCTCCACCTGCACAGCACCTCACACTCCATCCCCAAAGCACTTGGGCACTCGGCGTTTGCTCCTGCATGCAACCTGGGCACTTTGAGGGAGGCTGGATTGCCTGTTGCACACCATGTATGAATGCACCACCGAGAGCGACAAAGACCGCAGCAGCGTTGAGGGAAATACAGCGGGATCCTTGTGTGTGGGGCGGCTGCATTTTCCTGAGGGGTCCAGCAATTGCCATTTCCTCTGTGATACAACAAGGGTTATAATAATAATAATTTCTTATTTATACCCCGCCCATCAGGCTGAGTTTCCCCAGCCACTCTGGGCGGCTTCCAACAGAATATTAAAAACAATACAGCACCAGACATTAAAAACTTCCCTAAACAGGGCCACCTTCAGTTGTCTTTTAAAAGTAAAATAGTTGTTTATTGCCTTGATATCTGCTGGAAGGGCGTTCCACAGGGCAGGTGCCACCACCGAGAAGGCCCTCTGCCTAGTTCCCTGTAACCTCACTTCTCTCAGCAAGGGAACCACCAGAAGGCCCTCAGCGCTGGACCTCAGTGTCCGGGCAGAACTATGGGGGTGGAGACCCTCCTTCAGGTATACAGTAGTTCAGTAGGTAAGCCACAACTACATACCCCATGAGCAGAAATAGTTTGCAAACCCCCTCCAGGCCACAAAATATTTCTGCACGCAGAGCTGTGGAATATGGGCCTCCTGCTACATTTTTTGCTGGCATGGAGGAGAAGGGGGAGAGCAGGTACAATTCGGCCATGTATTATGTACATTTAACTTGTGCAATTTCAACCTTGCGTGGTTGAAGGCCAGCCTGTGGAAATTGCAGAAATTAAATGCATGCAAGTTTTGCTCAGTGCAGAAAGAGCTTTTAAGCTTTCTGCCTTGCTTACTGGGCTTCGAGTAAGGATGGTCACAAGGTGGAAGTTTTTGAGTATATGCGTTTTTTGAGTCTACACAGAACTCATAGAACCAAGCCCCACATATGAGATGCGATTGTGGTAGGTTTCATCCTCTCTTGGCACAGTGCAGAAGGAATCTGTCGCTCCTTGAAGCTGGAGGCGGCAATGCCCCTCCCCTCCTGCCCCAATGTCTTTTGTGCCCACCAAGTGTGGCACAGCAGCCTGGGCAGCTTTGAGCAGCAACCTGGCACATTCCTGCCCTTCCACTTGGCCACAACTGTAGATACCATCTCAGAACCAGCTGCCGACTAACCTCACCTGCCCTCCCAGGCCTGGCTGGCGCTGGCCTCCATTTGGAACATCTGTTTGCTCAAAGGGCCGCTTATTATCGGAGATGCGGAGATGAGAGACCTGAGGGTAAGCGGGTTAAATGCTTCAGAAGCAGTAGCCCAGGTGCTTTCTCCAGAGTAGGGGAAGTGCCCCACCTGCTGGTGGCAAGGGGGAACGGCACCTCTCTGCTTGCAGTCTGGGGCCGGTCACTTTTGCCGGAGTTGCGTTTAGACTTTGCCAGGAAAGCTCTTGCCCTCAGAAACACCACCCCAAAGGAATTTGGAGCTCCGATGCTCCACGATGCCCCCGTGTTTCTCTGTGGCACAGAGGGCGAGGGCTGGAGCCATGTTGTGCTTCGTTAACCATTTCTCACAAGCTGAACAGCTCTCCTTTGAAAATGGCTCCTTCCCACGGAGCAAGTGGACTGGATTTCATGGACAAGTTCAGGGAGAAGGAAATGGGGATCTAGCAGGCTTCCATGTTGTGGCTTCAGAAACAGCCTCTTCCTGCCTGCCTGGACTCTGCATCGGTCAACAGCATCCTTCTTCCAGGAGCAGAAGAGGCCACCTCACATCAGCTAGGTGAGGGATGAGAAGCAACTCCCAAAATGAGATCGCTGAAGCTGGCCAGGAATCCTCTCTCCTCCTCCTCCTCACTTCTCCCAAACATCTGCTCCTTCCTGCCTTTCCATGATGATTTGAGACACCGGGCAGCTGGCCTGCCAGAGAGGAAACTTAAGAGGCTTTTCTCACCGGTCCTTGATCCATCTTAGCTTCAGCATGGTCAAGAGATGAAAAAGTAAAGCTTTTGGAGAGTGCAGAGGAGTCAGGGGGCTGTTGGTGAGGTCCTGCTCCGGGTCAACTCTCCTGTTCCACGTCTGCAGGCTACACATTAAAGACATCAACCTCCGGAGACTCGGTTGCAGCCTGTCTCAAGCTCCAGCTCATGGCTTGTGGGACTCCACTTCTTAGGGGTTCTGAGCATTCTCCCAGCATTCCTGGTCCAGGCCAGACTCACTTCCTTCCTTGGAGGGCACACACCACGCCCATTGAGGTCAGCCACGCAGACAGATCCCTCTGGCTTACCCTGGTGGCAGAACTTGATGTGGCTTTCCTCAGGGAATCAACCTTCCAGGCAGCCCACCGATACTAACCATTTACTTATTTCTTTGCAGGGTTTATAAACCTATCCTTCCGAATTACCATGGCATTGTGCAGGGGGGAAAATAAAAAGCAAATGCAATGCAAAACAATACATTAAGCCCCCATGTAAAACCAACAGGTGCAACCTCAAAAGAGTTTTGAGATTAAAAGTAGAAATTGTTGGTGCAAACCTAATATTCAGTTTGCCAATGGCCCCTGTCCCTCCCCGCCTATTTTTCTTCTTGTTCCATAGCTACCCTGGCACCATTGTGGTAGCAGCAGCTATCATGCTGGTTTAAAGGCCAGTCCATGTGGATCTCTCTGGATGTGATCTGTCACACTGGGGGCTGGGGGGTTAAGTGCAGGGCAAGACTTGCTCACCACGTGCCCACTTCTCAATTTGGCCCGCTTTTGGCGAGATGGCAACATGCATCCGAGTAGTAGAAGCACAGGAGTTTGGTGCTCAAGGAAGTGGCCCTGCCAGTCCTTCGCCACATCCCTGGGGTTTCATCCCCTCCAGACACATCTCCCCACCGGTCCCTACACCTAGAATCTCCAGATGGGCACATCCCATGGGAGGTGAGGGTAGGGAAGGGGTTGAAATTGGTGCTTCCCGACTTTCAGTGTCTCTGAGAAACGTCTTTGCTCTTTCCTTCCAGAAACCCGAGAAGACAGGACCAAGAGGCTCTTCCGACACTACACTGTGGGCTCATACGACAACTTCACTTCTCACAGGTAAGGACCCTCCTGGCATATATTGGCTGCCTCACAGCCAGGATTACCACTTCAGGGAAAGGGAGGTCCGTGGGGTAATTGTGGGCTGGCAGAGAAGGTTTCCTGCCACAATGGTGCCAGATGTGAGTGAGTGTGTGTGGAGCCTTGTGTGAATCTTGTTTCTGAATTGGCAATCTTGCGGTCAGTAAAAGAAGGAAGCTCCAGCAAAGCATCAGTCAGTAGACCATGATCTGTATTGTTGCAGAACAGGTCCCCACAGGGGTAAGAACCTCGAGCATGGGGTGACCTCCTCTTCTAAAACTTCCCTCTTTCCCCCAGAATACACTTTGAGCAGCATCACTGAGACATCATCACTACATCACTAGCATGTCACAAATGGGGAGGAGTATACAAGGGTGACACAAGTTCAACATGAGGTCCCTTTATCAGACACCTTTCCCAACACCTCATAAGTCCCCATCACCGGAAGAACAAAAAAACTCTTTCCATCTCGTTGCCCTCAGGACTTGTCTGGAGATGGGCTTTCAGAACACCTGACTTGCTCAACTGCCTCTGCAGATGTCTAGTGTTGCCCCCCTGGTCACTTTCTGGGTGGGGGGCCATGTCTGTGCTCTCACGCTTGGAGAATTATGGTGGGATGCCCTGTTCCTGCTGCCTACATGACTTCCTGCTTCTTGGTTCATGGAGGGAGGTGGAGCCCAAATTCCCCTTTCTTTTAGGGTTAAAATGGCGTTGGAATGAGGAGAGTCGGTTGAAGTATGGATTTTCTAAAAATGTATAAAAGCTAGGTACAGTGGTACCTCGGGTTAAGTACTTAATTCGTTCCGGAGGTCCGTTCTTAACTTGAAACTGTTCTTAACCTGAAGCACCACTTTAGCTAATGGGGCCTCCTGCTGCTGCCACGCTGCAGGAGCACAATTTCTGTTCTCATCCTGAAGCAAGGTTCTTAACCCGAGGTACTATTTCTGGGTTAGCGGAGTCTGTAACCTGAAGCGCATGTAACCTGAAGCGTATGTAACCCGAAGTACCACTGTATCTTCCCTGAGCTGTCAAGTCGAAAGGATACATTCAAGCATAATATTTGTAACATTGTAGCAACTTTAAAGATGTTTCCCCCCCCCCCATGCCATTTCCGTAACATTTCCATCATGGAACTCAAGACGGCTTGCATGGAAGTGCCAGGCAGGTCTCCCATTCAAGCACACCGTGGGCACTATTATTTTTTAACTCTGCCAGACTGTTGGGGTGGAAGGATACATCTTCTGCTGAGTTTGCTGCTATTTTATCCTTGCTGTTTTGTATGTTGTTATTGTTTACTTTTAAGTGGGGTTTTGTTTGTTGCTGCTGTGTTTTGCTGTGTCCTAAGGATTGGTCCCCGCGGCGGGGTGTGCTCCCGTTGTTCGGTCCCAGCGCCTGCCAACCTAGCAGTTCGAAAGCACGTCAAAGTGCAAGTAGATAAATAGGGACCGCTTACTAGCGGGAAGGTAAACGACGTTTCCGTGTGCTGCGCTGGCTCGCCAGAGCAGCGATGTCACGCTGGCCACGTGACCCGGAAGTGTCTCCGGACAGCGCTGGCCCCCGGCCTCTTGAGTGAGATGGGCGCACAACCCTAGAGTCTGTCAAGACTGTCCCGTACGGGCAGGGGTACCTTTACCTTTACCTTTAAGGATTGGTCCTTCCAGACTGGCACCCAAAGAGCATCGTGAGCACAAATAATCACTCATGTGTAATCAAAGGGATTTCTTGGGGGAGGGTCCCTCTAACCATGGGCTCCCTTTGGTAGGAAGGGTTTAAGTCTGTTCAGATGTTACAGGAAAATCCTTGGGCTCACTTGGATGACCAAGCAAAGACACCAGCCAGGAATAGAGGAGCAAAACAGCAGCCCGTAAGCCTGGTCTTTATTGCAGAGACTGTTGCAACAAGACTTCCACCCACCAAGTGGGAGAAGCAGGAAGGAAACCAGAACAAAGGATGGCTCCCACTTTTATCAGTTTTACAAAGATACCCACAACACCCCTAACATTACATCATGGATACATCACAAATACATCACAAATGGGGAGAGTCTGCTGACAGAAACCTGAGCATCAGGTTGGTCTCCATCCTTCCCTTGACCTCCACCTCACACCCATCAAGTAAGACAAAAGAAATATTTACAAGTTCCTGGTTTCCCAGGCCAAGTTAATCACACCTCTTTGTCCCAACCGAGAACCTAATCTCTTCCTGTACTCTTCCCCTCCTGGGAACAGCTGAGCATGAGGCTGTTTGAAAGCCCTTTTGCAAACAGTCCTACTGCACTGCACTTTCAACTCTAGTTTTCAGGCTCTCAAAGAGCAGGGTGGGGACCTTTTTTTGCAACAGGACTTTCAAACATCCTTCAATGATGCTTTGAAGCCACTGCCATTGAGGAGTTAAAAGAGGATTGGACAAATACATGGAGGAGAAGCCTATTGATGGCTACTAGTCAGTATAACCATGTTTCACCTCCACAGCTGGAGGCAGCAAAGCTCCCAAATACCAGTTGCTGGGAGAGGAGAGTTGCTCTTGTGTTCGAATCCTGCTTGTGGGTTTCTCATTTGGGCATCTGGTTGGTCTCTGTGAAAACAGGGTGCTGGAGAAGATGGGTCATTGCCCTGATCCATACCATTTTCCTGTTCTGGAAGTCTTTCTGCATGATTGCCACCCTAAGGTTTGGGGAAAACATCGAGACCGAAGAACCCAGGAGTCCACAAAGGAGGGAAGCCCTCCGTTCCTTTGCTGCAGCTGATAAGACTCAGTCTGGCTGACAGACGGGTGGAAGCGATCTGAGATCAGGCCTGGAAATGAAGGCGCTGGGAATAAGCAGATAATTTAGGGATTGTTTTGACTCAATCAGGAGGCTTAGCTCTCCAGGAGGAGAGATTAAAGGAGTGACTGTGCACGGGGCCATCTGGATGGAGCTGGGCTCAGGAGAGGTGGAGGAAGGAGAGAGCAACAGCCTCCGGGTCCTCGCCAGCAGACAGTAGGCTTACTCTCGTGTCACTGGGATAGTGGCAGGCCGTGGCTGGCTGGTTTCTTGCATTCTGGTGTGTCAGGTTTACTCCCGAGTCTTTTCTTCTCCCGAAGATATCCCTCAAGGCAGCGGGTGCTGTAGCTGTGCTGATATCGCTTGCTTTCTATTTGCTGGTCTCCAAAGCACCTGGGCTCCCATTTCCTGCTCCGTCCCCCAGTGCGCATCCCACAGGCACAGGTTTTAATCCGTTGTTTCGGTCCCTGAGCTCCCTCGCCATTTCCACCATGGAAAGCCGATACAGAAAGTCCAAACCAATTCATTTGTGTTCGTTGCCGGCTTCTTTGAGCAAAGCAAGGATGGAGGTCACCGGAGCGAAACTCCCACAATCGCACACATGCAGCTGCCTTGTTGGAAGGGAATGACTTCTGCTAAAAGCCCATTAAAGCACCTAAAAGGCTTGTGGACTCAAGGTGGCCCTCCAGGCTCCTCTGTGTGGCCCTTGGAATTCTCCCCAGGCCACACTCCTCCCTCCCTGGCCCCTGCCTTGCTCTTTCCTTTTTCTTTTTTTAATATACAGTGCTACCTGTGGATGCGAATGGGATCCATTCTGCAGCCCCGTTCACATCCTGAGCAGAACACAACCCATTCTGCATGTGCACGGATCGCGATTTGCCTCTTCTGTGCATGCGAGTGACACCATTTTGAGCGTCTGCGCATGCGCGAGTGGCGAAACCCGGAAGTAACCCTTTCCATTACTTCCGGGTCGCCACGGAACGCAACCTGAAAACGCTCAACCTGAAGCATATTTAACCCGAGGTATGACTAATTTTTATTGGTTTTTACATATGTCTTCCAAACATTACATCCCATCTTAGAAAACATAACAGACCTTTGGCTATCACCGCCTAGGACTTCCATCAACCTTGACTGGTGGTTTTCTAACTTCCTTTCTAATTTTGCATTTTATTTTACAGTAATAGTTATTGCTATAAAATCCAAATCTTAAAAAACCTCCTTCTTAGTCCTCTTTCACAATCATTCATATAGTTCTCCTTACAAAACTTCTTGTAACCCTATACAATGTCAGTTGATTACAATTGTCTTTCAGAGATATCATTAATTTCTTCCGGTCCTTCAGGAAAGTCTGGTCTTCCTCGTTCCTAATTTTCCCACTTAATTTCACCAACTCAGCATAATCCATCAATTTCATCTGCCACTCTTGTTGATAATTCTTCCTGCTTCCATCATTGGGCTAATAGTATTCTTGCTGCGGTTGTCGCATATAAAAACAATTTTTTATCATGCTCATGAATCTCTGTACCTACAATACCAAGTAAAAGGGCTTCTGTTTTGGGGGGTTTTTTTTACAAATGTATATTTCAACATTTAAAAAATCTCATTATAAATCATTTCCCAGAAGTCCTTCACTTTCTTACATTCCCACCACATATGGTTAAAAAGTACCTTCTTTTTCCTTACATTTCCAACATTTATTATTTGTTTTATACATTTTAGCTAATTTCACTGGTGTTATATACCATCTGTACATCATTTTCATTATATTTTCCTTTAAAGCACAGCACTGCCTTGCTCTTTCCTTGGCTAAAATGCATCTTTTGTCAGGAGTTCAGTCTACACTTGAGTAGGACCCTCACAGAGACACATGCCCAACTAGCATGTTCTCTCTCTCCTGGTCAATCATTCGGGAGCTTCAGAAGCTTTCTTCAGCCCAGACATCACAGCGACCGATGCCAACAGACACCGGATCCACAGAGTTTGCGCAGTTGCATAACAGAACTCAGCATTTTGGCTAATCTACTTTATTTACATATCAACACACACGGAGCACTGCAACATGCCTCCCTCTCTCTCTAGCATCAGACAGCAAAGAGAAAAAGAACAAAGGACAATAGTCCCACTTCATAGAACACAGTAACACAAACATCCTGTCTTCGTCACTTCCCACTCTGTGGAGTCAAAACATACACCAACAATCCCATGACTGCAA